CTGATTCTTTGCGACCCCAGGGACTCCAACCGCAGGCTCATCCGTCCATAGGATTCACCAGGCAAGAATACTGTAGCAGGTTGCCATTTCCTCTTCCGACCCAGGGATTGAACCTGTGTCTCCTGCTTTGCAGGTAGATTCTTTACCCCCTGAGCCACCTGGGAAAGTCTCATCTAAGACTTTTTTTTTTTAAATGGTGACATAATGTTGTTATTGGTTAGTTGCTTCTGACTCTTTGTGACCCCGTGGACTGCAGCACGCCAGGCCTCCCTGTCCTTCACTATCTCCCGAAGTTTGCCCAAGTTCATGTCCATTGAGTTGGTGATGCTATCTAACCATCTCCAGGCATATGCTCCAGGTAAATACGTTCTAAAGAAGCTATCACTTGTCTGATCCTAGCTCACCAAGTTTGTACCCGTGAAGGAGAGCAGGAAGACCCAGCATGTGGCGCTCACGGCTGCCACACGCTCCTGCTCTGCAGAGAGGCCACCGCAGGATGTGCTAATGGGCTGGGGTCCCCAAGGCTGGGAGGGCTGACCACGCTGGGGGGCAGTGTGGATGGCAGGGGTGGGGTGGTGCTCTCGGGGACACCTGAGTCCCCTGGGAGGACTGGACTGCCACGTAGTCCGTCAGCGAGGAGGGCAGGGATGGGGAACACAGAGCCGCCTTCTCTGGGCCCTTGAAGGCAGGTGACAGGGACACCCACAGCCTCCTCCTCCGGGTCTCGGGGCCCCTCCTCACTGCCGCAGGCCCTGAGACCTCGAGGGTGTGGCGGTGCTCGGGGAACCAGAGGCTTCTGAGCAGAACCGGGGCGTGGGGGAGTCAGCGGGGGCCTCATTCTCCCCAGCTTCCACTTCCGGTCCCTGTTGACTTGTTGGTGTCAGATCTGTTCCGCATGAGCTGAAACTTGCCACCTGCCTCTATCTTCAGTAGCTTAATTCTAGGAAGGGCGCAGATAGCCTTGAAAATGAAACTCAGGCCCGCCCATAATCCCCCAGGGTCCTGAGCAGGAGCTGTGAGCAGGGACAAGGGTCAGGTCCTCCTGGCAGGCACAGGTCCACCCTCGCCTGCGTCTCAGGACAGGGCCCCAGGGGTCGCCTGGGGCATCTCGGCCCCCTGGGCTGTGGGAGGAGGGAGAGTGAGGAGGGAGGGGCCTGAGGCGTGGCTTTGGGGAAGATGCTGTAATTTAAGATGGTGCAGAGGTCAGCGTGCTCTGAATTTCGGCGTACCTGGTGGAGTGGAGCCGTGTGGCCTGTGCGTTTATGTTACAGGGATTAATGTAATGTAAGAGGGTGAGAGGGAGAGATTTCAGTGTTGCTGTGATCTCTGCTCCTCAGTCCTGCGCCTGTGATCCTGAGTGGCTCGTAAGCCTGCTTTTCTCAGGGATCCTCACTTCTCCATGTGCCTCCAGTGAGCACCCTGCCCCGCTGGGGGAGACTGACCCCCAGCCACACTCAGCTGCTCCTGGGCTCACCCAGCCTGCTGTCTGTGCGTCAGCAGGTCTGACTTGACCGGACTTCACCCGGGGTGAGGGTGAGGGTTCTGTACAAGCCTGGTCTGTTCCATCAACTGTGGCTCATGGGCGATTCAAGGAGTTTCCAAGAGTAAACGGAGTGACTCTCCCAGCCCATCTTTATGTGGGCTTTGGAAACTCGGCACTCGTGACCCCTCTGTACCTTCAGACTCTCCTGGCAAGCTCCCCAGGGCTGAAAGGGGCACAGACACACCCACAGTGTCTCTCTGCTGGGCAAATTCTAGCTCGATTGATTGATTTTCTTTATTTTAATTTTATTGTCGGCTATACGCAAAGTGACTCAGTTCTATGTATATACATATACACACATTCTTTTTCATATCCTTTTCCATTATGGTTTATCACAGGATACTTACTGGATGTAGCTCCCTGTGCTATACAGTAGGACCTTGTATTATAGATAATAGTTTGCATCCACTAACCCCAGCCTCCCACCCCACCCCTCCCTCAGCTCCCTCTCCCTTGGCGACCACAATCTGTTCTCCATATCTGTGAGTCTTCTAATGTTTCGTTGCTGTTGTTGTTGTTCGATCACTAAGTTCTGTCCAATTCTTTGGGGTCCCATGGACTGCAGCATGCCAGGCTTCCCTATCCTTCACCATCTCCTGGAGTTTTCTCAAATTCATGTCCATTGAGTCGGTGATGCCATCCACCCATCTCATCCTCTGTCATCCCCTTCTCCTCTTGCCCTCAGTCTTTCCCAGCATCAGGGTCTTTTCCAGTGAGTCGGCTCTTCGCATCAGGTGGCCGAAATATTGGGTCTTCAACTTCAGCATCAGTCCGTCCAATGAATAGTCAGGGTTGATTTCCTTTAGGATTGACTGGTTTGATCTCCTTGTTGTCCAAGGAACTCTCGAGAATCTTCTCCAGCACCACAATTTGAAAGCATCAATTTTTCAGCACTCAGATTTCTTTATGGTCCAACTCTCACATCTGTACATGACTACTGGAAAAACCATAGCTCTGACTATATGGACCTTTGTCTGCAAAGTGATGCCTCTGCTTGTTAATACGCTGTCTAGGTTTGTCAATGCTTTTCTTCCACGCCACAAGTATCTTTTAATTCCATGGCTGCAGTCACTATCTGCAGTGACTTTGGAGCCCAAGAAAATAGTTTCTCATCATTTCCATTGTTTCTCCATCTGTTTGCCATGAAGTGATAGGACCAGATGCCATGATCTTAGTTTTTTGAATGTCGAGTTTTAAGCCAGCTTTTCACTCTCCTCTTTCACCGTCATCAAGAGGCTCTTTAGTTCCTCTTTGCTTTCTGCCTTTAGAGTGGTGTCATCTGAGATTGTTGATATTTCTCCCAGCAATCTTGATTCCAACTTGTGGTCCATCCAGTCTGGCATTTTGCACAGTGTATTCTGCATATAAGTTAAATAAGCAGAGTGTTTCACAGATAAGTTCTGTTTGGTAGATAGGTTCATTTGTGTCGTAGTTTAGACCCCACATATCAGTGGTACCATGTGGTATTTGTCTTTCTCTTTTTGGCCTACTTCACGTGGTATGATCATCTCTAGTTTTATCTGTGTTGCTGAAAATGTGATTTTGTTCTTTTCATGGCTGAGTAGAACCTAGGCCTGTTGACTTAGGTGCTTATCTAGCCTCAGAGAGAAGTGCCAGCTGAGTTTTCATTTCTTCATTCTCACCAAGGAATGCTCAGTGAGTAGTTGTGAAGGCCCCAGGGCACATTGAGCTTCCTTATTCCTCCCAGTGGAGGAACCAGAGGCCCAGGGAGGGGACATCACTGATGCTTCTGGTTGCATGGATCCAGCCGAAGCACACCCTGGCTTTCCTGAGGCTCTCGATGCCCTTGCCCATTGCCAGACCAGCGTGGACAGGAATGGAGCTCGGAGGGCACTTCTATAGGAAGTAGAGCCCCAGGGTGGGGTGGGAGGCCGGGAAGGCTCTCACACGGAGCGAACCTCATGTTCCCAGGCTTCTGCCAGGCAGGGAGGTGCTGGGCCTCGGTGGGGGAGCGCAGCAGGCAGGAGCTGGACACTGATGCACCCGCCATCTAGCAGCCTGGGGAGATGGTGTGTGCAGCTGTGGTCACAGCGGCCTTTGAGAACTTGATCCAAACTATCATTCTTTTCCCTAGAAAAAGAGAGAACCCCACATCATCTGCAAGAGGATCAGAGCTCTCCAAGTCTAGTGCTTGGCTTCCAGGGTGGGCTCCCCTAGGTGGTGGCAGAAGCAACGCACTCTGATTGCTAACTTCCTGAGAACCTTTGAGGTTGTCTCTGTTGCCCTCAGGATAAAGGCAGAACTCTTTAGCAGGCTTTTTCGAAGTTTAAAGATGCAGTCTGGCCCCTGTAGACCGAGCAGCCTCCCTTTCTCCCCCAGGGGCCTTTTCTCAGCCACCATCACCCCCACCCCGTGCTCACCTGGCTGCTTCCCACCACAGGGCCTTTGCACATGCCTTCCTCGACCTGAGACTTTCCCCTCCCACCCTCCCCCACTCTGCCCTTAGCCCAGCTCCTGTGTCCCTTCCCCAGGGAAGTCTGTCCTGCCAGGTCAGCTCCTGCCCTTGCCTCCTCATCACAGTCATGGTTTTGCTGGCACTTCAGTCACACCCACCTTTTTTTTCACCTTCTTGAGGGCAGAGAATGAGTCAGTCTGATTCGCTGTGTGTTCTGGGTGCCTGACACGCAGCAGAGGATGGTACGCAGAGGAGTGGCAGGTAGGCAGCTGGCCTTTGTGGAGGCGGGAGGTGTGACGTCCGTGGCGGGAGCAGGTTTGGTTTCTCATCTTTGCACCTTCTGGGCCCCAGTGACGCTGCACGCTCAGCTTCTATGCCCTGGTGCCAAATCAAATCTCAGAGGCCAAGTTCTGGGTGAGGTAGAAGAGAATAGCTTTATTGCTTTGCCCAGCAAAGGAGGACACGGTGGGTTCCTGGCCTCCAAACGGTGTGTCCCAACGCAGGAGGATGGGATGAGGAGTTCAGTAGTTCAAGGGTGGGCTTGCTAACAAGATGAGGCTGTGTGCAGGCTCCACATGTCTCCTCTCTACGTCTGTGGCTCTACTCCTGCCCTGGAACTAGGTCTGTCTGCACTATTTTTCTAGATTCCATGTATATGTCTTAATATATGGTATTTGTTGTTCTCTTTCTGACTGACTTCACTCCGTACAACAGACTAGGTCTGTCCACATCTCTCTGAATGACTCAGTTTCACTCTTTTTTATGGCCGATATTCCACTGTATACGTGTACCACATCTCCGTAGTCCGTCCATCCGTCGATGGACGTGTAGGTTGCGGGTCCTGGCTGTAGTCAGTAGTGCGGCTGCTCCTTTCTTGGTTAGCAGCTGTTCGGATTTGCCCTTTGGACCTCCGGGAAGGTCTGGGGGGCTGGAGTCTTGCCGATGAGGAGCGGGGGCCGTGGAGCCCCGCAGGGTCCCGCTGGGTCTCAGCAGCCGCCTTCCTTGCGGCATGGCGAGCCTGACGCGCCGTTTGCCCCCCAGGTGTGCTGCGGCTCCTGGAGCACGGGGAGGAGTATGTGTTCACCCTGCCCAGCGCCTACGCCCGGTCCATCCTCACCATCCCATGGGTGGAGCTCGGAGGCAAAGTCAGCATCACCTGCGCCAAGACCGGCTACTCGGCCACCGTCACCTTCCACACGAAGCCTTTCTACGGGGGCAAGGTCCACAGGTAGGCGGCGGCCGGGGCCGGCCCCGGGTCCATCTGATCACGAGGCCCCCCATCCCTTCTTTCCATCCAAAGCGTGGGTTCCAGCCGGGAGATGCGTTGATGATCAAACTCCAATTAACGCATCCTTTTCAGATGACGGGTCTCCGGGGCAGAGTTCTGACCCCTTTCCAGACTGGCGAGGTGCAGAGATCAGGGCTTCTGGGGTCACTGTCACCTCTCACTCCCCAGGCCTCTGCCTGATCTGTCCTGACACAGTCAGTCCATGAGCTCCACGCAACACCCTGAGTCCTGTGTCTTTGAGAGCACGACTGTTTCTCTCCTTTGGGAAGCTAGGAAGCATGCCTTAAGACGTGGAAGGAGACGGCCGCTGTTGGAGCGGAGCGTCACCTCGTTTTCATGGTTCTGGCTTTAAGACTCTCCCCCTTTGGAGCAGATCACCGGATAAGCAAGCCCCTTGGAAAGCTGTCCTGGGTGGCGTTCCCCTAGGGGTGTTGGAGTGTCCCCCGGACCAGAACCCGCGCAGCTCGGATTTTCGGTGAGGGGCTCAGATTCGAACGAGCCAACTGTGTGTGTACCTCCCCAGCTCTGCGGCCCCTCATCCCACCTGGTGGCTTGAGATCCGCCAAGGTTGGGGCAGGGAAGGAATTCATGGAAGGGCTGCAAACCGGGTGTTTCCCCTGTGGCGAGCCCATTGTTAAAGCGTGACTAGCACAGCACAGACGCCCTTCCCACAGGATCCGCCAGAGGGTCCTGGGTGCGCCCTGGGCCCCCGCTGTGTCCAGGCTCAGGGGGAATGCTTCCAGGTCTGTGTTCAGAAACTCCACGTTCATCCGGAGTGTGGCTTTAGGAAAAGCGGACCCGGGCTCCTCCACCTCCCATTCCTGCTGTGTTATTCTGCCTGCAGCAGGCTCCTAGGGAGAGGGAGTGGGCTCTGCCTTCCCTGAGAGCTGAGCCCCTGATCCCTGGGCTGGGTGGGCGAGGTGAGAGGCTGCACTCCTCCACCGGAACCCTTGTAAATCAGGCTGCAGGGAGTCGCCCTCGTTTAGTGATTGAAAAGTTCTCCTGAGACTCTTACGTTCTTTTGGTGGTTGAGATGTACACTATTATTATTATTACTACAAAAAAAAAGAATTTTTGGCTGCACCCCACAGCATGCAGGATCTAGTTCCCTGACCAGTGACCGTAGTTCCACCGGGGTTGAACCCACCACCTTGCCCTTGAAGTGCGGAATTTTAACCACTGGACCGCCAGAGAGGCCCCAGAATGTACACTGTTAGGTGCGACTTGAGGAAGAAGGGTGATTTCCACCCCAATAATAACATATTGCAAAACCTTTGCATGTTTATTAAAACTAAGAAATTGATGAGATTCAACTGAACTCCCAATAAAGAGCAATAAAGCATGTATAATTTTAAACTGCCTAATTTATTGTCAAAAATCAATAAAGCAACATTAATTGAAAACAAAAAAACTGAGGAGGGGATAAATTAGGACTTTGGGATTAACAAATACCTACTTTATATAAAACAGGTAAACAACAAGGACCTACTGTATAACACAGGGAACTCGCCTCAGTATCTTATTATAACCTATAAGTGGAAAGAATCTGGAAAAAATATATATACATGTTCATGTATGTGTGTGTAACTATATGAACCACTGTTTTCTTGAAACTAACACAACATTGTAAATCAAGTATACTTCAATTAACAAAAACTAAGCAGTTAACATTGCTGCATCCTTAGACTTTATTCAGATCTACCTGTTTGCCCACTGATGCTTTCCTTATCAGCTCAAGGATGTTAGATTACATTTTAAGAGCTAGTCTTTGAGCAAGAGAGCAGCCCCATTAAAAAAGAAAATCTGCCGATGTGAGCACACCTTTAGAAGTCAGTCTGTGCTCTGATAGACTCACAAAGTGTTTATGGCACTCTTCGTCCACTCAGGGTCACAGCAGAAGTGAAGCATACCCCCACCAACACCATCGTGTGCAAAGCCCACGGGGAGTGGAACGGGACCCTGGAGTTCACCTACAACAACGGGGAGACCAAGGTCATCGACACGACCACGCTGCCCATGTACCCCAAGAAGATCCGCCCCCTGGAGAAGCAGGGCCCCATGGAGTCCAGGTGGGGGCCAAGCTTTGCTGTCTCAGCACGTGACCCTGGCAGAGAGGACGTCCCAGGGGACGGGGCCAGAATCATGCTCTGATTCCTTCAGAGCTTCCTCTGGGTGTCACCTAGGAATAGACTGGTTGTCGCTTTCAGTTTAGTTGTTCTGCGATCATGGGGCAGAATGTGAAGACAGCCCACCCGGACTTTACTGCCTGTCTTACAAGAATTTGTCAGCTTTGCTAAGTTAAGTACAGAGAGATGCTAATAATCAAAAAACCATGCAATTAAGCAATGAGATACCTTTTTTTCTTACCAGATTAGTAAAATAATTTTAAAAAATTCTGTGCTGGCAAAACTGTGATAAATTGACACTTTGTGTCTTGTGCAGGAAGGTGCCAGGTTCGCTGCAGGGACCAGTAGCTTTAAATTCGTGACTTCTCCTTTATCTTATAGTCTGCTTCTGGGAATCTCATCTAAGGGAGACTCCTTCAATTCACAAAAGGTTTTAAAAATGAAATTTGGGTATGTTTTTTTCATTAAACAACAAACAGAAACCACCTAACAGTGCAGTGATTTGGAGAAAACAGGTTAAGTGAGTAAAGGAGAATCCACTCTGTCACATGAATATTCTGCAGCCACTTAACGTGATGTTTATGCAGGTATAGAAGCAGAATCTTCTGGAAAGGTGCAATTAAAAATTTTTAATCCAGGAGTTCAGCCAAGTTTGCCCCACAGACCAGATCGTACCTTATAAACAATTTTTGTAAAATTTTGTGGGAACACCACCGTGTTCACCTGTTTGCACCTTGTTTGCGGCCACCGTCTTGCGACAATACTAGTGAAATAGTAGTGACCAAGACCACATGGCCTGCAAAGCCTAAAATGTTGGCTCGCTGGCCCTCACAGGAGAACGTTTACTGGCTCCTGCTCTTATTGAAAAGCATGCTGCTCTATAGAAAGATGACGTGGGATTAACATGAAATCACAGATGATCTCGTGAAAGGGTTTGCCATGACCAGAAGAGTTTGCCACCAAATTGGAAAAGTGCTTATTATGTGTAAATGAAGCCAGGGATACCAGTGTGTATAAATCATACGTTGTCACCGAGTTTGCTAGAAAGAGGGCTGCGGTGTCCTGGAAATCTGGCTTTGAGCTAGGAGTCGTCCACTGGTGCCCGTTGATGAGAGAGTAACCTTCTCCGTGTTAGGAGGGCATGAACCCAGCTCAGTGAGCCGTAATGGGACGAGACCCCGCCCACGTGGCCTCCGATGACGCCTCCCCCAAGTCAGGAGCCCTGCGGCCCCCTATCACAGCCCCACTTGTTTCTGGCGTGGCTGTTGAGTACCAAACTGTGATTCCCGTGGGCTGAGCTTCCGAGGATGTCCGTGCCTTAGCTGGTCCTTAGGAAGTCTCTTGGAGCCGGGAGCTCAGGCCCCTGCCTGGAGCAGAGTGGAGAGGGGATGGAGTGTGGAATGGGAGAGGGGCGGGGTTTGACGCTTCTTGTCTCACACATGTGGACTCCCTGCCACCTGGAGTTGGGCCGTCGGCAAACCCAGCCGCTCACCTTGTTTCCCATGGTGGGAATGGCCCAGAGGTGCAGTGTCTGCCGTTTGGAGCACCTGAGCCCGCTTACACGCTGGCCAGCCAGGCCCCACTTGTGGAGGCCAAGGAAGGCCTGCCTGGTGGCCTCGGCCCCATAGGGGCCCAGCCCCCACCTGCCCCGTGGCAGGGAACCCCTGCCCCGTCGTGGGAAGAGAAGCTGCTTTTCATCAGCCACCCCCGTCAGCGTGCTCACGACGCCCCGAGCCTGGCCTGCCTGCTCTGCGGGGTGCTGCTGACCACCCCTGGCCTCCAGGACCTCCCTGCTCTCTGCGAGCACTCCCCTGGGCTTCCTTTTTGCTTTTCATGCTGACCTGCTCCTGCCCTCCCAGCCCTGGAGGCTTTTCTGCCCTTCCTTTTGGCCTGAAATGCAGCGCCTTCCCGGCGAGCCCTGACTTGCCCGTCCAAGGGGCTCCAGGTGGAGCCTGTGAATGAATGGGCTGAGCCCTTGGTGTGGGCTGGCTCCTTGCTCACCAGCCGCGGGGGCTCTCTGCCCTCTAGTTTTGAGGCTGCTATCCTATGATGGGACTTGTCAGGGGAAGTCCTGCCCTGGGAGCAGCCCCACCCTGGATGTCCGGGCACCCGGTCATTCCCTCTGCACGAGATGTGTGTTGAAGGTGGGGGCAATGGAAAAGCCAGTTTGAGGCAGCGACCAGCCCGCCCTGTCTGCTTCCCAGCCCCCTTTCCTCCTTGAGCCCACCTCTTCCCCTCTAAGCTCTCAGGGTGCGGTAGAAAGAGCGAGGGCTGGGAGCCCGCTTGGACCTGGCTTCCTGCCCCGCTCCAGAGCTTTCTCCTGTGTGTGCTGGGAGCCGGGACGCCACTGTCCTCAGCGCTTTGTGGGGTGGGGCAGTGACCGGGGCAGGGGCAGGGGCGGCAGTCTGGTCTCTGCAGCCTGAGCCCAGCTCCCGTCTGGACTCGGATCCCCAGGAGGGCTGCAGTCTTGGCCGGCTCGGCCGCTCCACTGCTGACTCCCTGGCCTAGGAGCTAACAGGGCGCCTGTGCTCAGCCTGCTGCAGGGGCATCTGAGTCCCCCAGGCCAGAGAGGGCGTGCTCACTGTGGAGAGGTCTGTCGTTTCCTTTGTGCGGAATTTGGGCCGGTCCTGATATGAGAAAGTGAGGAAGTGTCCCCTTCACCTAAATGCGGGTCCCCGCCAACTCAGCTCCAGCACAGGGTGGGACTAGGGGGGAGGTGTTTTCTGAGGAGGGAAGCCAATGGCTTCTCCAGTAAACGAATGAATGAGTCTAACTTTGCATGTAGACACGGGAAGGTGGTGGATCCTCCGGTGTGTGTAACTCCTAGTATGGGGTTCCCCTGCGGGAGCACCACTGTTTACATCCATCAACTTGCTAACCTCTGGCAGCTGGCTGCCCTTGGTGGGGGTCTTGTTTTCTCTGCTTTAGGATGGGGTCCTAACATCACGTCTGTGTCATTGGGGTGTTGTGATGATGAGTTAATGTAAGCTGCCTATAAACGAGGTGCCCACCACGTGGCAGGGTCTGCGTGGATTCTGTCTGCAGGAGCAGCAGGATTCCTCCCATCACCCCTAGGCTGGTGCCCGGGCTCTCAGAGCCCGGGAGGGCAGAGGGGATTCAGAGTTGGATGCAGATGGGGCTCCGGGCCCTCCTCGCCCGGGACCGAAGCCTCGGGCCGCTGGCCCTGCCTGACTGCTAACTGTGCCCCCTGTGTCCCCCCAGGAACCTCTGGCGGGAGGTGACCCAGTGCCTGCGCCTAGGGGACATGGAGGCGGCCACCGAGCAGAAGCGGCGGCTTGAGGAGAAGCAGCGGGCGGAGGAGCGGAAGCGGGAGAACCTCCGCGCGCCCTGGCGGCCCAAGTACTTCATCCAGGAGGTGACCCGGCCTGCGTCCGGGGCGGGGTGGGCGGGCTGTCCCNTGAATCCTGGGGAAACCACCCCCTGGACCCAGCACCCTGCCCATCTGCTGGTCAAAGCGTCGCGTGCCCAATCTTTGTGGCGCAGCTGGGCAGCATCCTGAGAACATAATTGGAAACAACAAAAGTGCAGGAGCCAGTTTTTCAGGCAGGGGGTCAGGAGTCTGAGACAGTCAATGAGAGAGACAGGCCGGTGGGGACCAGACAGACCCCAGTCTGTACCTGAAGGGGTGGATGCTACTCACCTCCAGGCCATCACAGGCCGATGACCCAGTTCTTCACGAGAAGCCAGAAATCGGCAGTTCTGTGAGAGACCAGATGCTCAGCTGGTGTGGAGGAATCGTGAAAGGTTGAAGCGCTGAGGGCCAGTGGCAGTCTGGACTCTCCCTGTCCGGGCCCTGGCGGGTCTGACTTGCGCTTCGTGGAAGCATGGCCCCGAGTAGCTGAAAGGCTGCAGGGAGAGAGGGTGACCATCAGGTGGGCTGGGGCCACCCCCAGAGGCTGCAGCCAGGGCTGTGGGCTGAGCGTCGGCGTCACCGTTGGCCGCTGCTGTAGACAGGAAGCCTGCCTGGGGACACTGTGAGCGGGTCCTTGTCTGGAAGGCTTGCCCAGGGCAGGTGACTCTATATTAGTCAGGGTTCTCCAGGGAAACAGCACAGAACCAACAGGAGATAGGAGTTCATGTAGATCTACGATGAGATGGGGGAGGCTGCAAAGCTACGAGATCTGTGGGTTGCAAGCTGGAACTGCAGGAAAGCCAGTGTTTTTTATTCAATCCAAAGCCTGCGACCTAGGGAGCTGATGGTGTGAACCTCAGCTCAAGGGCAGAAATCCAGATGAGTGAGGCAGGACAGACAAGGCCGATCCTTACCTCCTCCACCTTCGGTTCCACTCCGGCCGGGGGAGATGGGGTTATCCCCTCCCCTGCACGGGGGCAGGGTATCTACTGCACTCCACCCATGCCACCCTCCTCCAGAAACACCTTTACTCTCAGGCTCAGAAACAAACTTAACTCAGGGCTGGTCACATCGACACATCAAAGTAACCATTATGGGATCCCCCAGGATCCGACTGTGAGCTAGATATCGTCTCGCAGAGACAGCTGCGTGGCTTGGCTTCTGTGGAACGCTGCACGGGAAGAAGTAAAATGACAGCAAGCCCCATTCTTTTCCCCCTAGAGGGTGTACTAAAAGCCAGTCAGTTTCTAACGGAGGCTTGAGGACACCTAAAGGATACAGACCAGCCTGGTTGCCGAGCAGTATGCTCCTCTAGGTGGGCGCCGGGCCCCATGCCACTGGGAGCCTCGGCTTTTCCTCACCGGTGCCGTGTGTGACTGGTGTCGTCTCCCGGGGCTGCTGGCGTGTTTGGGGCTGCCGCCTGCTGTGGCCTTTAGGGGGCTGTAAAGTCATTGCCCTGGGCAGGCTCCTCCTGCTCAGGCCCTTGTGTTTTCTCTTTCTTGTCCGTTCATCCAAATACAGTCCTTTTTTTTTCCTTCCTGTCCTGCCGTTTCAAGGTGCTTTTTCTTTTGGGGCCAATTCATCTTCCTTGATGGAAGCCAAACAGGCCGTCCGCTGCCTCTGTGTGGTTTTGGTCATTTTGTGGGGTTTCCTCCTGAAGTGGCAGATGCGAAGGTCCTGGGGGCGCCAGGAGGGGCGGTGAGACGAGCAGCGTGGCTGGGCTGTGCGCCGTTGGGGGTGAGGCAGGGGCACAGGCCGGTGGGAGCCAGCGCTGCTCTGCAGGGTCCTCGGGACTGGGCGGGGAGGACCCCTCTGCTTCTGCCCTCGCCTGGCCGACAGTCCCCACTTATTGATGAGTCCTCCTGTCTCTCGCAGGGTGACGGCTGGGTGTACTTCAACCCCCTGTGGAAGGCACACTGATGGTTGGAGAGGCGGAGCTTTCAGAAATAGCCCTGATTTTGTAGGAATTAAAGTGGTATGGTATCCAGGTTCTGCGGGTCTTCCCTGAGACCACCTGAGAACACTTGAGATGCGGTACCTGAGAGAGAGATTCTGTTGTGAACGATGCGCCCCCAGACTCTGCCGTGGGATTGAGCTTATTCAAGAGCCAAGTGGGCTTGCGTGTGCACATGTGTCTGTGTGCAGAGCTCCCCGCACACCGTCTGTTCACACGCATGCGCTCCGTTTGCTGGGTATCACTACACACGGAAGCACCGCACTTACCAACAGCGATGTGGGTGATTATGAGCTCCTTTTAATCAATGAGGTTTCAAGTTTTCTAGTTTTCACTTTTGCCAAAAAATGTTTTGCACTCACAAAGTATTCTCCAGTTGACAAGTCCTGTCCAGACAAAGGTGAACGGCCGTGGCCGGACTGCCATCCGTCTGGTGGAAGGTGGCTGCCACTTCACATCATGGCTGTGATTCCCACTCTGCCCCCAACTTCATTGTTTGTTTATCCATGCTCAAGACAGATCATCTGCATCTTCTGTGGGATGGGGAGTAGGTAGGAAGCTGTTAAAGGTGTAGGCTGGAGCCTTCCCGGATGGAGCGCCCCCTGGGAGAGCCCACAGCCAGGCCTGCCTTGGGATGGTCCTCCCACGTCCTAGCCCCAGAAGCTCTCTGATGATTTCATGTGCTCAAAGCGCTAGTCATAGTTTTCAGAAGCTGCTGCTTTCATGGTAGAAAACAAGTCCTGTGGAGACTTCACTACTTTTATCTTTGAAAAAAGGGCTTTAGAAGTGAGATATACGCATGCACATACAAACATGCACTACCACAGCCTTGTATTTCGTTTGGGGAAAGAGAAAAGAATACCCAGTGAATTGGTTTTTTTTAAGCACATCTCCCTCTCTTGTTTGACCCAAACTCTGCAAGGAAACCACTGTGATTAAAACATCCATACAGCCTGCCTAAGTGTTCCATGGTTTCAGTTCAGTTCCAGTTTTCAGCCTTTACAAATGAGGTCAAGACATGACCAGAATATAAAGCAAGGAGAAAATGAAGTATTTGATCTTTGCTCAATGCTTAATTTATTTTTTACTGTGCCACTCTGAGAATATTTATACAATCCAGTAGCATGAAAGCTTCTTTCTGTAGTAATACGAATTCTGTGCCTTTCGTCTGCTTTCTTAAGACCAATTGTTCACACTTTGTAGACATTAGACAAATATATTTCGATTAAATACTCTACTTATCTGCGTGTCTGTGCTTGATTTTCAGGGATTCCAAAGTTCTGTTGGAATTGGTGGCTCTGCATGAACTCATCTTTTATTAATTAGTGTTCATTTGATGTGAACAGCCATTATATTTCCATCAAAACAGTGTTTTAAACACATTAAACATCATATATGGATATTTTCTGATAAGGTCATAAGAAAATTTAACTTTTATCAGGGAATGGTCTTGTTTTGAGAAGTGACTTACCAGGCAAAACAATAAGGTAAGCCTGTTCTGGTTCATTGTCTTAAGACATCTGGGAGAAGAAAGTGGAATCATTTTATTTCTGAGAGGGAAAGCAGAATAGATATATTTTGAGAGGGAAATCTATAATGAGGAGACTGGTAAGTAATCACCGTGTATTTTTAGGTTTTCCAGTCTTATACCAGAGCATAAACTATCTGGGAGGTAAAAAACGGAGATCTATCACTCTTCTTTTTTTGGTCATGGGGGGGGGTTCATTTTGCCTTTTAAAATATTGTGAAACATCATATAAAGAATTACAAAAAACATATTACAGTTTCAGGAATATTTATAAACACCCATGTACCCACTGCCTGGGGAAAGAAACCTGTTTGTCCACACCTTGAAAGCCACCTTTGTGCCTCTGCAGAATTGCACTGTTTTTACAACAATCATCCTAATGGGTGTGAAGAGTTGTCTGATTGTGGGTTTGACTTGCATTTCCCTAATGATTTTTAGTGATGTTGACCATCTTTCTCATGTATTTCTTGACCATTTGTGTATCTTCTGGAGAAATGTCTGTTAAAGTCCTTTGCACAGTTTCTAATTGCGTTCTTTTCTGTATTAATGTACATGATTTGCAAATATTTCCTCCCATTCTGCGGGGTGACTTTTCACTCTGTTGATAACTGTCCTTTGATGCACACGAGTATTTAACTTTCATGAAGTCCAGTTTTTTCCTGGGCTTCCCAGGTGGCTCATTTGTGCTTTGGATATCATATCCAAGAAATTATTGCCAAATCTAATTTCCCCTTATGTTGTCTTCTAAGAGTTTCATAGTTTTAGCTCTTACATTTTACATTTTTGATCTAGTTCAAGTGAACTTTTGTATATGGTGTTAGGTAAGTGTCCAATTTTATGACTCTGCATATCGATATCCTGTTTTCCTGGGACCATTTGTTGGAAATACTCTTTTCCCCATTGAATGGTTGTCTTGTCGAAAATTTGATGATCTGTGAAGGGTTTATTCCTGGACTCCCTAGTCTGTTCCATTGGCATAGGTCTGTGATTTTATGGCAGTACCAGTTTTGAAATCTGGAAGTGAGACTTTCTCTATTTTGTTTCAGTTCACTCGCTCAGTCATGTCTGACTCTTTCCGGCTCCATGGACTGCAGCAAGTCAGGCTTCCCTGTCCATCATCAACTCCTGGAGCTTGCTCAAACTAATGTCCATCGAGTCAGTGATGCCATCCAACCATCTCACCCTCTGTCATCCCCTTCTGCTGCTGTCTTCAATCTTTCCCAGCATCAGGGTCTTTTCCAATGAGTCAGCTCTTTGCAGGTGGCCAAAGTATTGGAGTTTCAGCTTCAACATCAGTTCTTCCAATGAACATTCAGGACGGATTTCCTTTAGGATGGACTGATTTGATCTCCTTGCAGTCCAAGGGACTCTCAAAAGTCTTCTCCAACACCACAGTTCAAAAGCATCATCAGTTCTTTGGCACTCAGCTTTCTTTATAATCCAACTCTCACATCTAGGACATGACTACTTGACTAGAGGGACCTTTGTTGGCAAAGTAATGTCTCTGCTTTTTAATATACTGTCTAGGTTGGTCATAGCTTTTCTTCCAAGGAGTAAGCATCTTTTAATGTAATGGCTGCAGTCACCATCTGCAGTGATTTTGAAGCCCAAGAAAATAAAGTCTGTCACTGTTTCCATTGTTTCCCTATCTATTTCCCATGAAGTGATGGGACTAGATGCCATGATCTTACTTTTCTGAATGTTGAGTTTTAAGCCAACATTTTTGCTCTCCTCTTTCACTTTCATCAAGAGGCTCTTTAGTTCTTTTTCTGACATAAGGGTTGTGTCATCTACATATTTGAGGTTGTTGATATTTTTCCCACCAGTCTTTTTTTTTTTTAAGACGTACTTTAATTTTTTTTTCCATTTATTTTTATTAGTTGGAGGCTAATTACTTTACAGTATTGTAGTGGTTTTTGCCATCCATTGATGTGAATCAACCATGGATTTACATGTGTTCCCCATCCCGATCCCCACTCCCGCCTCCCTCCCCACCTGATTTCTGGGCCTTCCCAGTGCACCAACCCGAGCACTTGTCTCATGCATCCAACCTGGGCTGGTGATCTGTTTCACCCTTGATAACATACATGTTTCGATGCTGTTCTCTCAAAAGATCCCACCCTCGCCTTCTCCCACAGAGTCCAAAA